ATGGAGCACTGGGTGTTATACACAAACAATGAATCATGGAACACTACATCAAAAACTAATGATGTAAATTAAAAAAAAAAGTGAATCCTCAAAAAAATAAAAATAAAAAGGGAAATGCTTGAACTAGAACATGAACTGAACAGTGGTTCGCGAATTGTGAACTCTAGGCCAGCAGCATGGGCATCACCTGGGAACTTATTAGAAGTGTACATTTTCAGGCCCCACCCCAGACTTCTGAATCAGAATGACGGCGGGGGCGAGGGGGGCACACAAACCGTCATTTGCCACCCCAGGTAGGTGATGCTGATGCACAATTGGGTTTAACAAGCTCTCAACAAGAGCACAGTTGTGGCCCCTGGCATGGTGCCCCCCTCCCCATGCATGGTGCTTACAATGTGTGAGAAAATTTCCACCAGGAGGATTACTTAACATATCATCCAGAATTCATGGGCCCTGTAAATGCCGCTGTTGGGAGATATAGGTAAAGTCTGAATTTATGCCAACTGTTTTATGTCTGGCTCGACTGAATGCATGTAATGAATGTCTTTCAGGAAATGTGATGTACACACAAAATTAATCACATCATCTAAAGAACAACCAATGGGCATCTAAAGACATAACAAAACTACGTGTTAATAAACTGAGTTCTTTGTTCTGTTTGCTTTCTATTATTTTGTTGTTTCGTATGGATTAACCAGATATTTATTATAAAAAATTTAGTCTGAAGTTTGGACTATGGTGAACTAATTCATTCTTTTCCCTTCACTCCAACTTTCAACTGAGCACATCACATGTTAGTGAGGTTTCTTTTAGTTTCCTTTCAATTGAGCTCCGATTTGTTATTTTTCTTTGTTTTCCTAGACTACTTAATAAAACCAAAAGATGGAGCCTGTCCTACCTAGAGTTTTATTTACATTTGCATTTTGTTCTCTGTAATTAAATAATAAGAGAACTCTCTAATAGGTGTACAACTAGTTACAGTTCTGAAAACTATTTGATTCAAAAATTCTAGAAACATTTCAGTGTTCTTTTAAAACTGAACAGAAGGCTAGGAGTAGCAACGGAAGAGACAGCCACAACCAAGTGATAAACAGTCAACAGTCACTGCCAATACAAGACAAATGTTGAAAGGACGCAGAAAAATACAATTCTTAATCACAACCTACCACAAGGATAACTCAGTACTTGGATGTCATCAATGGCAATATAACCACTCCTCCCTCCTGAGACTTCAGCTTCAAATATTACCTGTCAGGAAGAAATAGAAAACATTTACAACAATCATTTTTTAAGGAATTTTCACAGTAAAAGAAGAATAGCTAAAGCACACTTATGAAAATTAAATTTGATTTTTATCCTATAAGAATTAAAAATTATTTCCTAAATCTTGTCCAGGTAAACAAACAAACAAAAACATTACTGAGGTGAAGCAGCTAAAAAATTATTTAAGCAACTGCTACTGTGTGTTAGAATTCCTGAATGGGTATCATCTAGGCAGAATGAATAGGCAAATACAGCTAATCTCATATCCCTAAATTTTCTCTTATTGATTTTCTCCGTTTTTGCTATTTATTTAAAATACACTGAGCACCTACAATGTACCAGGCAATAGGCTAACCAGTGAAAATACCAAATGATCTGCGCTTTTAAATAGCTAAACTTTCAAAGACAGAGGCCATCGGCTAGATTAGCAGTATTCCAGGCAAAAGGAACATACAATGGACTAGAATAGAGGTGTGTGTTTGGGGAACCAAATGAATATAATCTGTATGGCTAACAAAGGTTCAAAAGGGAAGAGGTAAGATTAGAGAGCTAGGCATGGAAGACCTTAAATACTACCAGACTAAAATCAGGAGTACATTCTGTCAATAAATTCCACATTAACAAATATTAAACAAAAAGGTTTCCATGTTCACATATAAGCTCATGTTATAGAGTTTTGTTGTTACAATCAATAGAAAAGCTTCATATAGCCTTTGTTTTTTTAATAATATGTAGTGTGACTTCTCAAGAGAAACCATTTTTAGCATGCCACCTTTCAACATTTTATTTGACTATTCATGGAGGTACACAGATTATTTTTGGGAGTATTCTGCAAAACATTTTAGGAAATGTGATGGAAATTAATGTTTAACGTAGGAATATGGTATAATCAAATTGATCTATTAGAAACATATATGCCTATAAGGTAGAGGATGAACTAAAAGAAACCAAGACTGAAAACAGGTAATATGCTAGTAGGAGTGGAAATAGAGAGATATGAAGAAAAAAGAAAGATAAAAATAATGCTAAGGAAATGGACAAAATTCACCACTAGGCGAATTGTGCTATCAGAATCCCTAGCCAGGACTAGTGATACAGAAAAAGGCAAATACAAATTTGAAGGAGAAGAAGACTAAGTACATTACAAATCTGATTTGCCTAGGGTACATATGGGGTAAAGGCTTAGAGCATAACTGGACAACATATCTCAAAAATAAGAGGTAGGTCCACAATAAAGCCATAGATTTGGAAGTCTTCATCATGGAAGTAAGTTATAGACTTAAAAGTTAACATGATGGGTGAATAAGATGGCATAGGAAGATAAAGAGGAGAAAACCACTGAAATGGAAGGTAACAATACAGCAGCAGAAGTAAAGCCAACAAAGTACAGTTCGGATATAATGACCAAGGAAAGAAGAGAAGTATCAGGAGGTTTCAGGCAGGTCAACACTCCCACCAAAAAACAAAACAAAACAAAACAAACAAACAAAAAAACAAACTATAATAACCATAATTTTAAAATTATCAGATATCTATATAAACAATGGCATTTAGATGAACACAAATTCTAGGAGGACAGATTCTCTCCAATGTGACCCCTGATCTTTGGCCATGTCTCCTTTCCCACGGGAATTATTTGCCAATTCCAGGATCAGGGTGTAGTTCTAGCTCAGCACAGATGTAGGTCCTCTGCTGGGGGAAAGTGGAAACAGTGAAGCTTGCTGTGCAGGACTCTGGAAATTTAGAAGTCTAGATTAAAAAAATGTTGGCTGTGGCAAAAAATATGAAATATAGGGGAGAGGTCAAGAAAAACTAAAATTAAAAAGTATCAATTAGAATTAACCATTAGGAGTTTTCTGGTAATGTTTGGCAGACAGTTTTACCAAAGGGAAGGGGCAGAAGATTGACTGTCTGAGTTGATAGTAACTAACATTTATTGAACACTTACTATATACAAGAGACTATTCTAAGCTAGCATGCACACCATCATGCTCGCATCTGTCGTTCTCGCTCTCTTTTTTCCCCTGCCACCCAGACACACACACACACACACACACACACACACGCACACACACACACTCTTAATCCTCACTACAATCATGTAAAGTTGGTATTATTTTTATCCTCAATTTAAAGAAAAGTTAAGTAACTGGACCGAAGTCATAACAATTAACAAGTGGCAGGGCCAGGAAAGGACCTGAGTCGAACTGCATCCAGCTTCCATTCTTCTATCAACTTCACTACACTGTCTCTCAAGATAAAGAACCAAATGCAGAGAGAGCGTTTCTTTTAAGCAGGCTTTAAATATCCTTTAAAAGTCTAACGTGTTAAACTTTAAAGATTAATGTCATTTTAAATAGTACTTCAACTAAACATTATACTGACTAGGTAGCAGCATCATCAGCATTACACCCTTCCCATTTTCCTCCTGTACCCCTACACCCACCCCAAAGACGATGACGATGGGACCCAGTAGATTAGGTGGCTGGTTTGCCTCCCATCCACCCGTTCCCGTCACAGGCCTTCTCCTGTGTTACTTCTTTCCTACTTTGTTCTTTATGACTATTGATGTCACTGGAATAAGCTGAGAAAGAGAACAGGGTCTTTGTGGGAAGAGAAATACTTCACAAGAAGGAGAGCTAATCTATGAACACAGAAGTGTGTGCGTATGTGTGTGCGTGCATGCATGCGATTTACATTTCATATAAGTGTATCTGATATGAAAACAATTGTCATGCCACTTTCCAAAAATTGGAACAAAGGCTTATTAGAAGCAAGAAATAGAGGCGAGAATCAGAGACGTTAAATAAAGTGTAACTTGGAGTGGCTGTGGTAGAGGCCCCTTTCCTGGGGCTGAGAAAACTTGTACTTGACTCCCAACTCTCCTGTTTAGAAATTCTTGAGCAAATCCCAGAACGTTTTGCAGCCAAATTCCAAGTCCTTAACATGGATATAATGCAGCTTTCATTATAAAGTTTTATGAGGATTAAATAGTAACAGACGTAAAAGTGCTATATAACCCAAAGGGTAAGCTCATCAACATTGTTAATGTGTGAGATTTGTGTAAATGTCTCCCAGGAAAATAGATTTTATTTGCTTGAATAGTAGTTCAGGAAAAGGGAAGGTATGGAAAGAAAAAGCGAGAAAACTGTTTTTGAAGAAAAAAACTACATTTTTTATGAATAGACCACATAACTGTGTAATTAATCACTGGCTATTTCACTTCCATTGTAGCCAACATTAATTAAATTATTTTAATTTCTTAAGTTTATCTTAGTTTTACTTTCTCCAATTGTCTTACTTCCTTTGCTTCATATAGGTGATAAGCTCATAGATGTTTACTCTACCCCCTGAGAAAAAGTTTCTTATTTGGTCATTTAAATTGAGCTTTTATTCTGAACAATAAATTTAGGCCTGCATTTAGAAAGGGAAGCAAAAGAACCGGTCCTTTATTAGAGAAAAAAAATGTTTCTCTTTTTAGTGACCTCATTTTCTCTAAGTGTTGTCTTTGCCTCATTATCAAGAGCTGGAGGGAATTTCTAAGATCAGATTCCTTTACTACTAAGGACCTAATCAGCTTTATCACTTCAACAGAGCCCTCACCTTGTAAGGCTCTTCTGTCCAGTCAGGGGAAACAGATCTCGAGAGCTTAACTACGCAAAGCTTGCTTGAGCAAATGCTCAGGTCAGATCTAATGTCTGGTGTCAGGTAGTCAACCAGGGCTTCCCAGAAGAGAACAAAGGAAGCCCTACCAGATGTCAACTTTCACCCATCTAAGAGGCCAGCCTGGGAACAGAATGGACGGGCTCTGCTTTGCATGCTGTTTTCACTCCACTCCATTACCTGAACTACTGAAGGTAATGATTCCAATCAAATTTTTGCTACTCTAGCAACATTCTTGGATTATTAACCAAATAAGTGAGGTAAGGTTGAATTAAAATAGAGGGGGGAAAAGGCAAACTCTAAAGAACAAGGACTTCCTCCTTTGGCAAACTGAATTACAGCAGAGAATGTACCTCATATAAGGGAAAGCTGAACTCGAAGTCAGGAAGTCTGTGGATCTAATTGCTATCACCTGTAACCCACAAAATGATTTCAGTGTGTCTTCCTTGCCTCATCTGGGTGATACTGGCCTTGCTACATCACAGGTTTGTGGTGAAAACTGAATGATAGATACACAATGATTAAATGATACATGAAATACCTTTAATACAAGATATTATGGATATGGGAAAAATCTGAAAAACAAACAAACAACTTTGTCCTTAATTTTCTTTCAATATTATCAGTTTTGAGAGTATAGGCTCCAAAGTCAGAGACACATTTAATTTACTTTTTTTAAGGGTAACTTTAACTTATGGAAAAATATATGTAAAGTTGTACTGAAGTTATGTTTGCAACTTTGTATATAAAGTTACTTTGGTGACTTATGTAAAATCTAAGCCTCAGTTTCTTTTCCTTTTTTATTTTTTAAGATTTTATTTATTTATTTGAGAGAAAGAGAGACAGAGACAGAGAGAGCGAGAGAGCACAAGCAGAGAGGGAGAGGGAGAATCATGCTCCCCGCTGAGCTGGGAGCCCGACGTGGGGCTCGATCCCAGGACCCTAAGATCATGTCCTGAGCCAAAGGCAGATGCTTAACTAACTGAGCCACCCAAAAAAGAAACTATTAGTATCCACGTCAGGGCTTAAGGGAGGATTAAATGAGATATGCACATGAAACATTTAGCACAGGCCCTGGTACACAGTAAGTGTACTACGTTAGGGAGCACCATCATGGGAGAGAGCATCCATAAAGAACATATGTACTAAAGTGAAATTTCTTCTCTTTCCCCTCTCTTTCTCATCAAAAACTTCACCCTCTGCCCCAACTTGGGGGGAAAAAGGTAGGGGCATCATGCAACTCTTGATCTCGGGGTTGTGAGTTCAGGCCCCATGTTGAGTGTAGAGATTACTTAAAAATATTTTTTTAAAACATGGATATA